TGAAGCTCGAAAAGTCCGTAACTTGTCATAGCACACTAAGCTCTAAAGTAATCCATCCACAGTTAAAAAACAATATAACTAATTCCAATAAATTAACATATTGGATTGAGAGTATCTATTTGGAAGGGATAGTAAAACTTAGGAACATGCGATTCAATTTGAAAGAGAATTGATCGACCAAGTGGAACTGTTTCGAATCCACAGGAGCTCATCACCATACGTTTCTTTACTCAACTTTATTTACAATTTGATTTTTCTGGAATACATTATACTTACACTTCAATAAGTCCGTATATTGTCCGATTTTCAAGTGAATAAAAGCATGAGGCAATAGACCAGCTACAATCCACTAACAAATAGAGATACAACTAAGATTCTGATAGAAGTGATCGACATAAAGAAAGACAAACCAAATAATTACAACATATCTTAACAACAATAATATGGCAGCGAAGAATAGTGCAGGTAATGCAGTTGAAGTTTCACAAGGCGTTGAAAATAGCTGTGCTATATGTAAAGAAATCTTAGCACCAACCGTTTTGTCAGCAACAACATCGTGCAGGCATACATTTCATAAAAAGTGCATTATAAACCACTTAAAAAGTACACAAACATGTCAAATTTGCAATGCAGATTGCAACGAATCAAATTTATCTCACTCTAATAACACTCTGTTCGCTGAAATAAATGCTGCAACAGCTGGCACATCCGGCGTAAGCGAATGTCAAGATAATAATGATATTTTCCCATTAAGGAGAAATACCAGATCAGGCAGGATCCGAGGTACACCTCCTAGACGAGGAGTGTCTACCAGAAATACTTACAGAGGGAATTTGGATAGGATCTTAACAGAACCTCCAACGAATTCCAGTATGGCTCTTAGTACTCAACCAGAGTTGATGAACTTTATACAGTTTATTGTTAGCCAACAACAGGCTCAACTCATGGATAACCTTACCTCTTATTTAGGGAAGACTATAGAGACATCTATTAAAAGTCATTTAGACAACTTACAATTATCTCAGCCCACACATACAAATTACACACCTGACAATGTCCAACCAAATACAGATTTGAGCAGGAACAATTCCAATCAAAATCGGTATTCTCAGAATTTAGACAACAATGTAGAAGAAAGATGCGGAAACAGGAGCAATGCAAGCTCATATGTTAGCCCGGAAAAAGTATCAGGAATCATTCAAAAATGGGGATTAAAGTTCGATGGTAGCAAAACAAGCATCAGGATAGATGAATTCATTTACAGGATATGCTCACTCACCAAACAAAATCTAGGTAATGATTATGGACTTTTATGTGACCATCTGTACCTTCTGTTTGCCGGAAAAGCAAGCGATTGGTATTGGAAGTTTCATCGAAACAATCCAAATTTCGATTGGAACACATTTTGTGACAAACAAGGCCACAGATTCGATGATTGTATGGCTAAAAGAATTATATTTTGTTACGGTTGCGGACTTAAAGAAAAATACAAACCGACTTGTCCAAACTGTAATCCGGGAAACCGACAAAAGGATGTTTCTCTGAGCAACAAGATACATCCGTAGATTCAGAAGTTGCTAAGTCAAAATCAACCACTGAAGCCCGTGAATTTCAGGAGATAAAACCTTTGGGTCAGTCTGATATTCATTTTTCTTTTATACCCTTATACAAAGTAATGCAGTAAAGAAATTCAGTAGTAAATTGGCACCCGTATTTATACCAGCTAAAGTTTATAAGAAACGTAGCTCGTACTACTATGAATTAGAGGATGAGAGAGGAAGGAAATTAGGAGTATTCCATTTGAAGGATATACAAGCTAGAAAACAAGGAGTTTCTTCAGATAAGGCTTCCTTGAAATAGTCTCGTTACCCTTATCTGTGGTGTAGTGACCAACTTAACTTTACACTGCAATAACTCTTCAAGACACCCTCGCCCTAAATTATAGCAGCTTTTGTGTAAAAGAAAAAGCGAGAGAATTTTCTTAGACCAATCGGAACAGAATATGATCGTACGATTATACAGTTAGGGAAAGAAAAGCTGTAACAGCGACCACCAGCATGCAGCTTCCCCAGAGCTTAGAGCATTATCGGATAAATCTTCGTGGCGAACGCTCATACATTTTTGACGCTGCCCGTTTAAACTTCATACACGTGGAAATATAATTAGTTATATATATATCCAATCTCATAAAACAAGAGTTGGTATATTTCAATAAATTTCCGTGTTCGATTTGTGTGTGAAAGTGGCAACGAGATTCGACCCCAAGGCGTAAGGAAGACCAGGCCTATATATAAGAGCATGTGATTGCTCTACAGCCGACTACCCCCCCCGTCTCGTCGACCCCCGCATCAGCTCATGGTTTAAACCCCGTCGCTCCAAGAAGAGGCCACGAGGCGACATAACCTTCAGCAACAAATTACGCAACCGGCCACCTGCCGTATGATAACTGGCCCAAATATATTGGAAGGCTAGAGCTCATCCAGATTATTCAACTATGCAGAAGTTTAGACGACCGGAGCAGATTTAATTACATTTGAACATCATCATCGTCACGCAGTGAAGATCATCTCCTATGACCAACGGAGGTCCAACTTTGTGATTTCGTCTTATCGCAGCGCAGCGTAGCAGCCAGCGGTTTACTAAGGTCTTATCGCTGCAATACTGCAGTTATATTTCGTGTTTTGTTTTGATTCTTGATTTTCTTTTGTATTGCGATTTATAATGAATTAAATACTCGCAGATTGACGGAACTTTTGGCATTTGAATAGGAATTTAACTTAGAACCTTTAAAGTTTGACCTACAGCTCGACAATGTCAACGTGAACTTGGGCCCAACTTTACGCACATCATGGAGTGGATATTTAAGGTCGTGAGTACTACAACAACAATGATAAATACCTTATTATGAATTACCTATATTAAATTCTAACAAAATGCCACTCGAACGTCTAAATAAAATAGGATCTGCATTTGACTAAAGATTATGTAACTATATTTGCTAATTTTATATTCAATTACTTATATATATTTGCTTTATACTTTACTTTTATATACTTTATTTTACCCACTGAATATAAGCAAAAATGAAGAGTTAGAGAATGACTAGGATAATTATGCGTAGATAAAAATATTGCTAGTTTGTAAAAGAGATTTAATGAAACCGTTTATTAAACTGAATTTATATAAATGGAATTATGATTGAAGATATATTCAAAAAGAATGAATTGTGAATAAATAGATTTAATGGTTTGTCGAGTACTTATGTTGAACACTTTCTTAAATATGTGGTAGAGTTATTTTGAACTTGGCCAAGGGACAATGTAAATATTTTAAGTAGCATTGTCATGGTAGGGAGGGTAAAGACTTAGGGAATCATTAACATCCGAAATTCCCAATACTTATCAGAATCTGTAGCTTATCTTCACACGTGTCGGCGTGTATCATTAGTATCAATATAAAGCCATTTCTTTTGTTAATCGATAATCCAGTTTTGAATATTGTTTATGAGTAAGACGCACTTATTAAAATGTAGTAGCGTTTCGTACTATCCTAAGCTAAAAGAACCCCGACCTACGGCGAGCTAGACCCGAGCATAGCAAGAGTGCGCATCCCTAGCGAAGGAAGTACAAGGTCCTCTTTATTAGTAATTATCACCCACTATTAAAAGACCCACTAGTTAAAAATCTATCGAACTACGTACACTACACTGTGTATCGTACGAGATAATAAGTCTTTTATGGTCAACATAATATTCTGTTGCGGTCATGCAACTCATAGTTAGATCTACAATGAATTAATATTAGGGGTACTTAATTTCTAGTGAATCGGCTTGATACACATCACTTGATAACAGTAGAAATATTATTTGAAGATGTATGTTTATGGTCCAGACGAGCACCCCTAAATTTAGTTCGTTATCACGGCACCATATGTGAAAGCTGTCTAGAATGGATTGTAAGTCAGAATGACAATAAATGTCCTTATTAAGTACACGCAAAAGTTTTTTTTTTTTACTAAGGGAATAAGGTAAAGAATAAATTTATAAAATAGGAGCGGGCCAATGTGGCTACCTAGTGGGACGCCGGATGTGACTGCGTTTCATAAAACCGTACTGACATGGTGAAATAATTGGCCTACTTCAGTACTGCAAGTTATAAGTGATAATATTTTCAAAAAGTTTATGGATACCTTTTTTGGGCAGAGGAGTCACAAAGGAATCCTTCTGTATATAGAGAAAAGATAGCAAGTTCAGTAAAGATCGAAAACCAGTGAGCTTTCGTTTAGAGTGGGACAAAATATTAAAATCGACTTTGATTCCGCATAAGATAAGACTGTTCAGAAAAAGGTAACGTGGAATATGTTGTTGGAAAAAACTAAGCAAATAGTTCGGCTATTGCCTGATCCGATGTTACCGTAGTATTTTTAAAAAATAGCGCTTAGTATTAATGAATTAAAAAACTTTTTTAAAAAACTGAGCTTTAAGCTCTGTAAATTTAACAGAGCACTTAAATATTTAGAAAATATATTTTAAGAACCGGTATCTTTAAATTTTGTGAAAAACATTTGTATTACATTTTTAGTTGTGTCAACTCTTTATTAAACAAATGAGGCTTATTTGAAATAGACGGCTAATTCATCGGAGCGAAAAAATGATTTAATTGCCGTATAATAAATATTTAAAGATCGAAAGGTAGCTGTGTCGATTATCGTCACCTGAAAAGTAGGATGATATGGATCTTCAGGTTAAGTTAGAGGTACTACTCAGGGCAGAAACAATGTTTTAGAAATTATTACAAGGCACACATCCAGTATTCAAACAAGAGAATTTTTAAACCCCTTCCTGACAAGCGGGCAACTGATAACTGCACTAGCGCTATGTTATTTTTAAAGCCATTGACAATAGATTTGAATGGCTTTTCAGACTCATTTATATATTATAAATACATTCGACAACGGAACAACAAGTCACCAAACTAAAGTTTATTTCTTTTCTATTTTAGCCCAAAATTAAGTGGTTACAGCTTGGATTTTTTTTATACCACGCCGCCAATGTCCACGCATGCTTTCGGCTTCGTAATATCAAAACTTAAAATGTGGAACGAACGTAAAATTTTAAAGTCTTCAGATATTCCTGCCATAAATATTTGGAGCAATAACCTCTCATCAACCATTTTATTGGTAAGATTATTTACAAACAAGCTATTGACTATGGCTTTTCTACTTTAATTCTGCTCAAATTCTTTACGGCACATTCTTCGCACGTTCTTATTCTCCATTGACTCTCGACTGACATCCAGCTTCTAATTAAATGACCCCTTTGCTTATATCATTCGTATTCTTCCCTTCTTCAAGATACATAAGATGAGCTTTCTTAATTCGGGCTGTTCCCACCAAATGAATATTTGGAAATCGGCTTAAGCAGTCAACATGTGTCATTCGATCAGGGCTACGAGACTAAATTTAAAAATCCGCAACCTCGCAAGGAACATTCTTCTTCTTTACAGATTGGGTAAACGCTGCACAGTCTTACATTTTTCCATCTCACATTGCTAAAAATTCATTTTTTTGTGCTTGCTTTTTATTTTAAACCTTTATTTGTATACCCATTATATGGAAGAAAAAAATTGCGGTACATATGCAATGTTAATTAAAAAGAGTTAAATTCTAAAATTTTAGTAAAATGGGACGTGGAACTGACTTTGAAAAATGTAAATTAAAAGCCTATATGGAATCTGGACTAAAACGATATGAATTCTTTTGTATTCTAATGTTTAAAGCATTCATTATCATTTCGTAAAATGGGACGTGGAAAGCTTTAACCTACTTTGAAAAATTTAAGGGAATTGAAGGGAAAAAACAAGATATAATGCTATAGTCGAGTTCCCCGACTATCAGATACTCGGATAGTGGAGGTGCAAACGAGAAATTTCAACATTTTTTGAAATAGCGGTAAAAATTGGTGAAACAAAAAAAAAATAATATGAAATAAATCTTAAAAATTTACAAGATATATAAAAAATGAAAAAATATAAAATTTTTTAAAAGTGTGGGCGTGACAGTCAAAAGACAGGCAAAATTTAATTTTGGCAAATGTGTAGAAATTTACAAGATATATTCAAAAATGAAAAAATATCACAACATTTTGTGTGGCCGTGACAGTTTTGTGCGTTTTTGTGGGCGTTAGAGTGGGCGTGGCAACATTTGGAAACAAACTTGCGTTGCGTCTAATGTCTAATGTCTGTAATGTCTCTAATGAACTGGTTCGCTTTCGCGTTGCTGTATGCTCAGCAACTTTACAATTTCCTCAAGATTTCTACTGTTTTGCCAAACTTGTTGTTCCATCGTGACTACTCAAAGATTATTCAAAGCCAAATTGGCGAGAACAACAACGAGTTCTTGTGCTTCCGTTTTTTTGTGTTTTGTTTTTTCCCCAGTTGCAGTTGCGAAGGATTCGCTTCGATGTTCTGTCTCTTTTGCACTGCTGGTTTCGTAGCGGCTTTTCTCGGTGTATTTGGGATTCTTTTTTTGGCTTATCCCTTCTCTCATATTTAACCGCATGGTTTTGCACAAATGCAAACTCTTAGTTCTTAGTTTTAGTGTAACTTTTCATGTTCTTTCACAGTATTAACACATTTCACAGTTAATTGATGCATTACTTTTATGCAAGGTTGAGCCCCAAATTTAGATTTATGTTTATAGTTTATTTATAATTATTTGAGTATTTATGTAATACAAAAAATTGAAAAATCAGTTCACCGAATGGTTATAAGAAGTAAGAGACGACTAAAAGGCAGCTTGGCAACGGCACGATTGGTTTACTGCATAACGGCTTCAGCTACGGCTTAGATTACGGCTTTCTACAACTGCTTCTGCTACGGCTTTCTGAAAATCGCGACTACGGCCTTCTACTTAAATTCTGTTCAACTTCTTTACGGCAACTTTTTCGTACATTCTTATTTTCAGCTGACTCTCGACCGACTTTCAACTTCTAGTGCTGATTACATACATTCTGGCGCTTTATTAATTGAAAAAATGTCTTCGTCAGCCATGGTATATGGGGACATGTCATCTTACTTCTAGTCCAGAAGTCACCAGGATACGTTCGCTTAAGCCTTCTTCTAGTCGTCGGGTTAGCCAAGGAGGCTGCTAGGTGGTTGATTCCAGGTGTGAGGCGTTCGTTGTATCGGCTCGAGTGAAAGTTAAATGCGTGTGTATTTAGCAAGTGATATTCTCCTCCAATTTTTTAAATAAGATTTAATCTTTGAATAGAATAAAATTGTAAAAAGTCGTTGAGTAAGTGTGTTAATCCATTTTGTAGTGTGATTAATTCCTTATTCAGAACACATAGTCTTAATCTGGGACTTTTTGCGCCTTTCGCAAATCGTTAAATTTTTAGGTAGGAACCTCTCAGTTTGCAATGAATGCAATATTACAATTTATTTGAGGGCATATCGACGACAGAGTCCAGTCACTTATGGAAAAAAAGCGAGCATGTTTCATGTGAATTTGTTGCATAAATGGAAAATATGTAATATAATATGAAGCTGGATGTTTGCAGCAAAATACCAGGCATGGACGGAAGGCAATCTTAGCTGGAACATAATTTTTTACAAACAATCTTTTCCAAAAGTTATGAAATATTGCTGATTTTAACAATTGGCCTGTAGTTTTACTAATATAATATATATTACGTAAATCGGAATGATGACGAAAAAAGAATACTAAGAGGAAGAAGAAGACTCGAAATACGGTTTCTAGGAAAGAAGGAGGAAACTCCCTCGATTTCGGGTGTAGGTGAATCACTAAAGTGCTATATCGCTTCAGAAATGTCGCCATCAGTAATATTTACCGACCAAATGTGGAAGATTTCCGGAATCTTGCCCAAAATATCTTGGTCACTCCAGACAACAGCCGATTTAAAGTTAGTAGAGATATAAGAAGCAAATAAGTTCCAGATGTCAGTCTCAGCTGACATATTCTCATATGTCATGACTGACGGTATAAGCGAAGATTTCTTTCTTTAATTTATAAAGTACCAGAATGTGTAGGGTTTGGTCCTGAGAATACTTTAACTTCCGAAATATCAGATACCAATTATATAGGAAAATAATTTCCTATGAATAAGCAAGACCTCAAATTTCCGTTTGTGCTGTCTTTACAATCAGTGTAAATTTAATTAAGTAACTTGTAGGAAACATTCAAAGCATTATTAATTTGGGTGCTATAAAAATCATCAATTGCTATGATTTCATGTGACTTGTGTACGTTGCTAAGATCCATGGATGAGGAAAGCGAATCCAATGTTCATATAACGGAGCCAAGTTAAAGTCTTCAGGCACAAGTAGCCCTCTTAATGTGGGAGATATGACAAAGATCAGTGTCACTTCCAGGGGTATATAAGAAGCCGCAATAAACAGCTTTCCAACCGATTCATCCACCGCAAACTGATCCAAAATTGAGACATCACCTAAGAGTTTGATGTTTGATACGGCAAATAGCCACAATAACACCACCACCTCTCGCGCAATGCATTCTGCTGAATTCTGTATCCTTACGGAAGAATTAAAACAGACTCAGATCAAAACAAGATAGAATGCTATAGTCAAGTTCCCCGACTATCAGATACCCGTTACTCAGCTAGTAAAAAGGCAAAAGAAAAATTTCACAATTTTCTGGAATATCGCAGAAATTGAAATAAATATTAATAAAATGGAAAAAAGTGTAAAATTTTAAAAGTGTGGGCGTGAGAGTTTTGTGCTGTTTGTGGGCGTTAGAGTGGTCGTTAGAGTGGGCGTGGCAACATTTGGAAACAAACTTGAGCTGCGTTTATGTCTCTGCATAATCAACATTCTCGCATTTGTAGTTCTGAGATCGAGGCGTTCATTCGGACGGACAGCAACATGTCCAGATCGACTTGGCCACTGATCCTGGTCAAGAATATGTATTTATACGATCGGAAACGTTTCCTTCAGCGTGTTACATACTTTTCAACGAATCTATTATACCCTTTTCCACTACGAGTAACTGGTATAAAAATCCAGCCAAGTTAAAGTTAAATCTCTGTGTAAGTGAAGTGTGTACAAAGTACACTCCAAACCATAGTTTGAGCAGCTGGCAGCAGAATCAGATTGAATGTATTCAAGCGTAGTTGTAGAAGCTGTATGTGAAGTCAAAGAGTACCGCAAGTAGTATGTTTTTTTTTTTTTTGTAGGAACGATGTTTGGAGAAGCATGCGTCGGGAGAATGCAGCTGTAATCTCCCTTTAAAGCTGTGCTTAATGATATCTAAATCGGGACCAATGATAGACGAATGATAGGCGAGTGCTGAAATTGTTGTTGGAAATGGAGCGGTAATCCGAAAAAAAGAGAGGTTTGATCCAAAAGAGGGCCAGAGGAGACGTCAAAGCTAGTGATTGCAAGTAATAAAGTCCACCAAAACTTTCAGCTTATCCACGACAAATGTAGACAATGCCTCTTTTGGGGCTTTCGTACCGTGAACTAGCTACCGTAAACTTGCCAATATGAAGAAATTGCTTGCTAGGTTGAATATCAAATTGGTTAAAAGAAGGCGCCAAACCAATGATATGCCTTTGCAATGGCTTGTTGTTGCAATTGGAATATTGTGTTTCTCTTATAGTCGGTGCTATAGACGGCTCAGAGAAGGCGATTTCAAATTTAGAATTTAACTCCATATACAGACTTATATATTGTTGTATTTTATCTATCAGCTCACCAAACAACTATCATAGTAGATTTGGCATGTTAATAAGTAATTTTATAGCCTCTTTTGGCTAATCAACATAAGCCGTATGAAAATTGCGACGAAAAGTTTGGTAGCAGTAACTTTGATATCCACTCAGAACACGAATCAAGAGCCATAGCGGAATAAAAATCGTCAGCTCGCAAATAAAGCTGATCACACACCGTCGCTCGAAGATCCAAGAAAGAGTCATCCGACCGAAATTGAAAAAACCTTTACCATGTAACAAAACCACACCAAGAGTTTTCGTTAAGTCTGCCTTTGCTTTTTCCGCACTTTTAGATGCGGATAACTCTAGGCGTTTAGAAAACCACTTTGCCAATTCAATCCGGCCTTTGGGAAACTTCATTAAGATGATTGAAGAAGAAGAAAATTGTTCATAAGCAATGTGCTTGGATGGTTGGGTGCATGGGATACTT